AAAAAAAGTAAAAAAAAAAGAAAAGTATTTTTGATGGGAAACATTTTCCTTAACTCTTTGTAAGTCCTTTGGTTGAATTTCTTTTTTTAAAAAAGATTTATTTATTTATTTGAGAGAGAGAAATAGTGCAAGCAGGGGGAGGGAGAAGCAGACTCCCCGCCAAGCAGGGAACCTGATGCGGGGCTTGATCTCTGGACCCTGGGATCGTGACCTGAGCCGAAACCAAGAGTTGGCCTCCGGCCGCTTAACCGACTGAGCCACCCAGGCACCCTTGTTTGAATTTCTGATAGATGTTTTCATCGGTATCTTCTTGGTTTGATAGAACTCTTGAAATTAGCAATATTTTTCCTTTTTATGACACATGGGTGGCAATATTTTCCCTAACTTGTTGTTTGCCTTTTAATTTCAATTGGTGTTTTCCTAGACATAGCTCCCTTAAATGGTTGATGTGGGTTTTTGCTTAGGGTATATATATTTTTTTCTGTCCAACTGCATTGAGTTAGAAATGGAATACTTTAAGGACGAATTTGTCATTCTTTAAGGGTAAATGTCTGCAAGACCCCTGCAAAGCCTCAAGCCTCTGCTGCATTTCCCCAGCATTGCTTTCACCAAATGTGCCATCTCCTGCAAGAATAAGACAGAGCCAGATTTTAAGTGGTTTGGAGTCTTTTAGCAAACGTTTTCTGAGAAGCTCTAACCCAAGCATCTGTGAATCAGTCATACCTCTTTTTAATACCTCTTTTTAATCTCCACAGCCAAGATCAGCCCCTGGCTTTTGGCTCTGTCTGGATGATCAAGGCAGTGCTGTCCAATAAAATACAATGCAAACCACAGACACGATTTCCAGTAGCCACACTAAATAGAAGGAAGAAGAAACAGGTGAAATTAATTTTACAAATATAGTTAATGCAACCCAATACATCGAAAATATTATCATTCCAACACGTAATGAACATAAAAAATATTGAGATATTTTGCACTCTTTATTTTCTTACGAAGTCTTTAAAATCTGGTGTGTATTTTACACTTTCAGCGCATATATAGCACATGTGGCTAGGGGCCATGGGACTGGACCGTGCAGGCCTAAAAATAGCAGTCTGGCTCTGGGTAAAAGCAAAAGCCTCAACAGATCATAATTAAAACAGAAACTTACATTAGGGACCTCATCCCTATGACCCGCCTAAGGATGAGAACGGCTGGTGGCCACTTTGTGAAATTTTTCTTTTAACATTTTTTTAAAAAGATTTTTAAAATTTATTTGGGTGTGTGTGTGTGAGAGAGAGAGAGAGAGGGAGAGAGCGAGCAGGAGCGGGGGGAGGGGTAGAGGGAGAAGCAGACTCCCCGCTGAACAGGGAGCCCCATGTGGGGCTCGATCCTGGGACTCCAAAGGCCACCCCAGCGCCCCTCTCTTAACATTTTTGTGGCTCTGAGGATTTCACTCTCTCCACATCTGTACCCGTATGGGTGTTTTACTTTAAGGGCCTGCGGTGATGACCCCCACACCCCACCCAGAATGGAGCCGAAGCTGATGGAACCCACTGCTCAGGACACCCTGCATGTGTCCATCACCAGACGAGACTGGCTTCTTCAAGAGAAGCAACAGTTGCAGGTAAGCAGGTGAAGAATCTTCAGGAACCTAGGCCAGCATTTTTCTTACCCTTGGAAGCCGAATGCGGCAGGGTGGGCCTTAGCTCGGTTTGAGTGTAGCAATTAGAGCTTTGGCCATCCACCCGTGAAGTACAAAAGGGGGAGATGGGTGGAGTGGGCCGGAGGGCTTGTAGGAATCTCATTACACACAGGGATTGAAAGCTCTATGGTGTTTGTGCCTGTTTTCAATATTCCTCATTACCTTTTGAATATGCTTTCCTTGTCTGCCAGGCCAATTTGTCACCTCTTATCATTTTGACCTTTACAAGGTTCTTTTGAAAGGCAGGAAGTAATCTGTGCTGCGAAAATCCTTTATGGAAAATTGCATCGAGTTGAAGTGTAAGGAGCAGTTGTTAGGGTTAGGGTTAGGGAAAAACTGGTAGACATCGCACAAAGGGAGCTCCAGGTTGGGCCAGAGCAGTATGTGAAAGTTGACCGGGAACCGTCTAGAGGCTAGAAGTCTAGGTGCAGCACCGAGTTAAAGGCAGGAGGCCATCATCAGGTACTCTGGAAGTTGAGGGTCCCCCGTCCCCCCTTAGAGACAGCGAACCTTGAAGCTGGGTCCACACTGGCTGGAGCCTGGAGGCCTTGAGGCAGGAATGGGGAGCAGCAAGGAAGCATCGATTGAAGGCAACGTGATTTCTGGAAAGAGCATAGGTCTTTAACACCCGAGTGCAAATCTTGGTTTAGGTTCTAAACAATGGAATGCATTTAGACTGGTTTATGGGGCTTGGACGAGTTACTGGACTGCCCTCCCATCCCAACTCCCCCCTGTGCAGAGTATTCTTATTATCTGAGTTTGCTCACCCAAGTCCCCACAGTAGCAAGGTGGCAAAGGGAGGCAAAAATCATCACAATTTGAAAATATTCTCCAGTAAACTGAACACTTATATATTCAGTGAGTATCATCATAAACGTTTGTCATGTGACGTATGGGGTTCGGGAGTGAATGGTCAAGAAAGAATTCTTGAGACGTCTTCGGGGCAAAATGGTGGTTTTAATAAGCCTGGGGACAGAACCCGTCGTCAGAAAGAAGTGCACTGGGTTTGAGGAGTGACTGATTATATACTCTTAAGTTGGGAGGGGGTTAGGGGTTGTGTAAGTCTCTAAGATGAATTTGGAAGCAAGGTTTCCAGGACCTTGAGGGGTTATTTACTACTGTCTAGTAAACTCTTAGTCATGAGACCCTTCAGATGTATATCAGTGGGCCATATGTTTGGAAGATGATTGCTAATATATATCTTGGGTAGAGAGATAAAGGAAGTTTCCAAAGGGATTTTTGTATGTTAAAGACTTGCAGGATCCTGGAAGTCAGGCTAATGTCAAGCTAGGGTTGCCTTCTGCCTCTAGCAAAGTATTCACATTGAGGCAGTTGAGTTCCTGGAGGAAGGTCACCCTGCCTTTCTCAAGTACTTGTCAGTGGGCTGCAAAGGAAATTTGATTATTTTTTCTACATTTCTTTTGCTTTTGTTCTCCACATCAGTTTGGGTCATTAAAAATGGGCAATGTGGTTTTTGGTTTTGAACAGTATTTACCAGTTACAGGTCTGCATAATTCCTGATGATGTCAGAGTGTACAGAAAACAATTTGAGCCTGGGATACTCAGTGTGTGAGTCAGTTCTTGGCAGAGCTCTGGGGGAAGGGGGATATCCGTTCATGCAGCAGGTATTTGAGGGCCCCCTATGTGCCAGGTACTGTTTGAAGTGCTTAGGATTTCTGTGAAGTTGATGTTCTAGTAGGGGTGGGCGTGGGGAGCTCGAAAAGAAATGTCAAACATAATTAATACCTAGATTATCTCCTTACTATGTTGTAGGGTGCGAGGAGCTGTAAGACATAGGCTAAGATCAACTCATTGTGCAGTGACATTGAAGCAGAGGTAACAGCCACGTGAAGGCCTGAAGTGGGGATGTGCCTCACGTATTCAAAGGGCACCCAGCAGGCCAGGGTAGGGGAGAAGGTCAGGGAGAAAAGGGGTCTTGGAGGGCCTTGCACACCTTAGTGGACACTTGGGCTTGTCTCTGACTGGGAGTGTGGCGCCATCGGAAGGTTTTAATCTGACCACGTTTTGAAGAATCACTTTGACTTCTGTGTTAAGAATAGCGTGTAGGGCCATTGTGGAAAAGCATGGTGGGTCTTCACAACATTAAAAATAGAATTATCACGCAATCAAGCAATTCCACTTCTGGGTATATGCCCAAAGGAATTGAAATCAGGGCCTCGGAGAGATGTTACAAGCAGTATTATTCACAATAGCCAAAAGGTGGAAGTGACCCAAGTGTCCACCTCTAGATGAATGGATAAACCAAATGTGGCCCATCCACACAATGGAGTATTATACAAACTTAAGAAGGAAGGAGATTCTGACACGTGGTGCAACTTGGATGAACCTCGAGGACATCATGCAGAGTGAAATAAGCCAGTCACAGGGGGGCAAATACGATGATTCCATTTACATGAAGTTCCTAGAGATTCCTAGAGACCGAAAGTGGAATGGCAGTTGCCAGGGGCTGGGGGAAGGAGGGGTAATGAGGAGCTGGAGTTTAATGGGGACAGAGTTTTGGTTTATAAGATGAAGAGGTCTTGGACGGCTGGTGTTGACGGTTGCACAGCAGTGTGGATGTGCTCAATGCCATGCAACTGGCATGAAAAATGGTTACGATGGTGACTTTTATGTTACGTGTATTTACCACAGTTAAAAAGAAAGAAAGAAAAGAAGAGCGTATGGGCAGAGGTGGAGGTGGGAGGTTCGTTGAGAAACAGTGCCAATTATATTGTAATGTTGGACAAATGGGAGACATATTATCGTCTTGGAGTGTCTCAGGGGTGGATCTTCAGCACCTCCTCAGTCTCTACCCCCCACCCCCCTACTGGAAGTGGGGTCAGGAGATAGAAGTTGTAGGTGATCTATACCTTGGGTTTGAGAGACCACAGATAAGAGATGGGGAGACACCCAGGATTAGAGCTCTGCTCTTATCAGCCAGAAACCAGTGCCCAGGATGTGGGAGTGTGGCTGGTGATGGGAAGAGTCTCATTTTAAATTCAGAATGCTACAGGCACTGAGATGAGTATCTGTTCCAACACCATCCACACAATGGGTGTTCAATAACCTGCTGCTTGTTTTATTCTCTGACCTCAAGATTGGATGATACTCTAGATTCTTTGGGTTTTGGTTTGCTGTATTAGTGGAAATGGAATCTATTTAATATTTTTATGAACTTTAGACTGCACGGCACTATCTGCAGCATCCCCTTGCTCTTTCAATCTTGTAGACTTAGGAAACTGATTTTTCATCTTCCTCTACACACTACATTTTCACGTTTGGGGACAGACCAACCGAGGACTGTTCGCTTTTCTCTTCCGGCCTGTGACCTGTGTTACCTGCTTAGCTCATACCTCAAGCACGTGATGTTTGCTGCTCTTTATTCTAGCTCTTCCACTTGAAATGAAGTAAGTCATTCGTATATTTGCTTGGCCCTTCCAAGTCAAATTCCTGGCTCATCCCCCCATAGTTATTTAATACTTGGGAGGGAATGTTTTTCCTTATGCCAACTAATCAGAAGTATAAAGCTGTCGTGGTTTTTCCACTTCAGCAAACCTCCAAAAATCTGCCTGCCTCAGAAGGGAACTTCACGGCTTTCATGCACATGGCTGACTCCCATTTAAAGGGCTCATTATCAGCAGAGCAGTTTGCTATGAGTAGGGTTAATTTAAAAAAACCTGGTTTCTCCATTCTCTACAGAAAGAAATCGAAGCTCTCCAAACAAGAATGTCTGTGCTGGAAGCAAAAGATCAGCAGCTGAGAAGGGAAATAGAAGAGCAAGAGCAACTCCTCCCATGGCAGGACTGCGACCTGACCGCCCTGGTTGGGGGGCTGTCCCTGGGCGAACTGGAGCTGCAGGAAGTCAGCAAGGCCTTGCGTGACACGCTGGTCTTAGCCAACCAGATTCCACTCTGTGCAGAACCACCTGAAACCATAAGGAGGTATTGATTTCCTAACTGATTTGGGATTGCTCACCTCTTTGACTGGTTTACGGGACTGATGTTACCTGCTGTCCACACATATTTTCCAAGCAGGGCTCTAGTTTTTCAATGGAAGCACTATCGTTATTTTGAGTGGGAAAATTCTTCCTTGTGTGGGGCAGTCCTGAATATTGGGAGATATTTTACATCCCACCAGCCTACCCAATGCCAGGACTCCTCTCCATTCTACTATGAACGGCCCCACCCCCATTTCCAGATACTCCAGGCGAACCCAGTGCTCCATGCAGAACGTGCCCTCTTTAATACCCATCACCAGGCTAACCCATCCTCCCATTCCCCTCCCCTCTAGAACACTCAGTTTGTTTCTGAGTCCATAGTCTCTCATGGTTCGTCTCCCCCTCCGATT